TCCGTTTTGAAAAATGACACCTTTCACGATGGTGAGAGGTACATTGTACCAATGCTTTGGAACGATAAAGAAAGTAGTTTACCGAATAAGTATTTTTCCTCCTCAGCTCAATTGAAGTCTTTGGAAAAGAGGCTAGATAAGGATCCGTCACTCCGTAAAAAATACGCCGAAACAATAAGAGAGGATATACAAAAAGGATATGTCATAAACGTTAAGGCACACGATCCCAAATCACGAGCCGATCGTGAGTGGTATCTCCCGCATCACCCGGTGTTGAACCCGAATAAACTCGGTAAGGTGCGCCGAGTCCTCAATGGGGCATCGAAGTGTCATGGCGCTTCCTTGAACAAATCTCTGTTGGTTGGCCCGGATCTCCTTCAAAACCTCATTTTTGTACTTTTCAGATTCCGTCAGCATAAATACGCCATTTCAGCTGACATTGAAGGGATGTTTTTACAGGTTGGAGTCCGTGAAGAAGATCAACCTTCTCTTCGTTTTTTTGTGGCAGGAGGACCCCACATCAAGTGTGGTAGTTCACCAACACACGCGTAACATTTTTGGTGCTCGTGACTCGCCGACTTGTGCGAATTTTGCTTTGCAGAAGACTGCATCGGATAATCAAGCTGAGTACCCCGAAGCTGCTTTGGCTGTTGTCCAGAAATTTTATATGGATGATTATCTGGATTCTTTTCAAAACAGGGATGACGCCTTGAAATTAGGTAGGGATTTAATCTCGTTGCTTAAACTAGGTGGGTTTCGTCTGAAAAAATTTGTCAGCAACGTGCCCGACGTAGCAACCGCTCTTGATCCGGACAACTGTGAGTCCAATTCGTCTGTTAAAGATATTTGTGCGGGTCCAGACCAGTCGTCGCATGTTCTCGGTCTTAAGTGGGATCACGTCAAAGATACCTTAGTCGTTAGTAGAGGGGTTGATTGTCCACTATACAAAGCAATCACTCAGCGTACCGTGTTGAGTTTTGTTTCTTCTGTTTTTGATCCAATTGGGTTAGTGGCTCCGTATACCGTGAAGGCTCGCCTTCTATTAAAAGATATCTGGCGAATCAGCGGTCAAAAATGGGATGATGATCTGCCAGAGGAAATCAAAAAGCAATTCTTGAGTGGCACTCAGGCCTTCATTTGTTAGGTTCTCTGACAATACCTCGAAGCTATTTCACTGAACCTTTTGACCGAATAGAACTTCACATGTTCGGTGATAGTTCGCAGGATGTTTTCTGTGCCGTCGCTTTCCTTCGTGCGCGACTTGTTAGCTCCCATCAGACCGAATTAGCCTTTATGTTTGGCAAAGCCCGCGTCGCGCCTATGAAAGCGCTTTCTATTCCAAAGTTAGAGCTTCAAGCGGCTCTTCTTGCAACCCGCTCAAAAAAAAAGAAATTTTGAAAGGTCTTACTTTCAAAGTTACGGATATTTTCATGTGGACAGATAGTACCACTGGCCTTCAGTGGCTTCACTCTTGTAGTAAACTACCCGTTTATGTTGGTAATCGCACTGGTGAGATTCTGGAGTCTACCAGCACTGATCAGTGGCATCACATACTTAGCGGTGATAACCCAGCTGATACCGGTACACGAGGGACTTCTTCGGAAGCCCTCAAGGAAAGCAGCTGGGTTAATGGCCCTAGTATATTGAGAACAACTGATTGGCCGCTCAAGCCCGATACAAAGGTTATCGATAAAATAAGACTCAAAGGACCATCATGTGATATCGACATTTGTCTGGAAAATTCGTCAAATTTCGTCGTCGATGTTTTGACAGAAAAAAAATTTCCCTTCGGAAAATGGGAGAGATTCAATTCAATTGTAAAATACAAACGGGCAGTGGCATTTTTGTTAAGATGGCTGCCATCCCATAAACATTTCCGGTCGAGTATATTAGAAATTACAGACCCGTCTAAAATGGATATTGCTGAACAGAAGCTCATTTACCTGTCCCAGGGTGAAACATTCCCTAGTGAGCTAAAACTACTAAGATCCGGTAAAGTTATCACGAGGAATAGTCGGATCGCCAAGTACTCGCCGTTCATTGGACCATCTGGCATCCTTCGCTCGACTGGGCGCATCAGCCGCTTGGTTATTTCCGATTTCGATAGCAGGCATCCGATTATACTTGATGCACGTCACGCGGTTGTTCGGTTATTGGTTCAGCATTTGCACGTTAGGAATTTCCATCAAGGCTTGGATTACATGCGTGCGGTGGTCAATTTGAGGTAAGTTGTATTAAATTTGCGATGGTTGCTGCCAAGCATTGAAAATAATTGCGTTGTGTGCCGAAAACGCAAAGCGCAAACCGTAAATCTGATGATGGCTGATCTGCCCATTGAAAGGCTGGGTTACAAGCAACCTCCTTTCTCTAACACAGGTGTCGACTACTTTGGGCCGTTCCTAGTTCCAATCCGGAGAAGTACGGAAAAGAGGTGGGGTTTTTTGTTCACCTGTCTTACCACCAGAGCGGTTCACATTGAAGTGGTCCCCTCGCTCGACACAAGCTCTTGTGTGATGGGCGTGGAGAGGTTTATCGCACGTCGCGGTACTCCGACTACCATAATGTCCGACAACGGCACGAACTTTGTTGGCGCTCAGAAAGAGCTCATAGCTTGCGTTGAGAGTTGGAACAAGCTCGCACCGGTGTTTTTGTTCAGAAAGGGATCAAGTGGAAATTCAATCCACCCAGCGCACCGCACCATGGTGGGTCCTGGGAGCAATTAGTTCGGAGTGTCAAGCGCGTTTTGTATGACATCTTAGGCAACAGAAGAGTAACTGAGGAGGCTCTAAGAACCACGCTGTGCCTTGTTGAGCAATCACTCAACGCTAGACCGATAACAGCCGTTAGTTCCGATCCACTAGATTTAGAGGCGTTGACCCCGAATCATTTTATCCATGGCCAATACGCAGCGAGTTTTCCGTCGCTAAGTTTCGAAGAAAACTTCGACCATAAGAAGCGGTTCGCCAGAGCACAATCATACGCTAATGCAATATGGACACGGTGTGGATGCGGGAATACGTTCCTTCCCTCAATAGGAGGGCAAAGTGGCACAACCAGTCAGACGTTAAGTTGAAAGCCGGCGACTTGGTTTGGGTCATAGAGCCTGACACTCCACGTGGACATTATCCACTCGCACATATCCTAAAACTGCACTATGGCAAGGACGGATGCGCGAGATCCGCCGACATAAAGACCGTTACGAGCGAACTGACCCGCCCGACCGTAAAGCTCGCTCCCGTTCTTCCTTGTTTAGGGGTGGAGGATGTTGCAGCGCAAATATAAAACAAGAGTATAAATGCATATAAAGTTGAACCAAAATGTAAATGCATATAGGGACAGTAGCCGAGCGTATACATGGTGCGTCCCGGCGGGTTCGGCGCCGGTTCGAATCCCGCCTAGGTCATTTCCTTTCTAGAACTCGAATATGCACCGAACTTGATGGGATGATCCGTAACCACGTTCGATCCCCCCAAAAATCTATTTTAACCGTCTTTTTGCTCTAATTTAGTTCAGCCTTGATTAAGGCTGACCTTTAAAAAGAGTAATTTGTCTCAAGGACAAATACTGGTCATTTTTGCAGCTTGCTTTGAGTTATGCAGTTTTGTGTGGCCGATTTTACCGATGATAACAATAAAAAAGCTTGTTAAAAATATCGCTAATTTCCCGATAAAATACTCGTTATAATTCAAGTGTTTGAAAACAGATTTTATCACGAAGTGTGGAGATTGACGCGCACAAAAATTGAATTTGATCAACATATTTTTCCGAGCTCCCCCAACAATGTTTATGGATTTTGACAACAAAAAATACTATAAATTGTGGTAGAAACCTCCATTTTTGAACTCAAACTACTCAATAAAAAGCTAAGAATCATAGATAGCCCTTTAAATTACCTTTTTTAGCAAAAAATTGAAATAAAAAATTGATGATTGAAATATCACCGCATGATATGTGCAATCGATTGAATTTAAATGATCAGATAATCGACTGCTGATTTGAATGATCCAGATAAAACAAAGATAACTTGAACTTTGAACCTGGATATTCTCAAATTAAGTTGTCCTTAGACAAAAGTGGCGAGGAAAAGCTTGTTGAGCTTTCAACAGTTTTTCTGAAGTTCAAATTTTTGTGCAAAATTGGGGCTCAATTGATTGCTGGCAAAACTTTCGATTGCTGAAAAAACTATATCAAAACCAGCGGTTCTTTTTACTAATTTTGATTTATGAACAATTTAAAAAAATTTTGTTCTTACCGTTTTTCCTCATTTTTTGTGCATTTTCAAACGTTTTTGGAGATTATATTTTTCTTAAATATTCAAGGATTGAAATGAGTTTAAAGTTCTATAAAATAGTTTTAAAATGATTATCCGAGCTTCCAAAAAAACCTAAAAAGTTTCCCATTCCGTCCATAAAGTCTGTGCAGCAGGCAATTTTTTGAAAAAAAAAATAAGCAAAAACGAAGTTTTGTCGGTTTTTGAAAAGTTTTGTTCCCTCCCTGAAATTTAGAAAAGATTGGCGCCAAAGATATCCTTTAAATAAAAATTAGAGGTTATTCAGCCGGAAAGGACTGCCGTACATTAATATCAATGGAGGATACTTTGGTAAAAATCAGCAACTAGAGCAGGCTTCCCTGCTTTGACACGACTGATTTGAAGACTTCCATCAAAGAAGTTTTAATAAAACACATGATTTGAAGCTTTTTATCCGAGATTATTCATTTCGCGCTTTTTATCAGGTTTTGATTAAAAAAAGCGTTTTAAGCTGAGAGGAATAAGTTTTTCCAACATTTTGTCGGCAAAATGTTGAAAAAAGTTTTGGAAATGGATTTTGCTAGCAAAAAATATATTTTTATAAGCAAAATTGTAAAATAAGGTAGATTTTCGAATTTTCTTTAACTTGTCGGATAGTTGAGAGAGTTATTGTATGTTTAGCAGGGTTTTCTCAAACTGGGAACATCATGTTTCATAATTTTATTTTAGCAACACATGGTTCATGTTTTAGTTACATCTTGGTCGCATGTGTGTTGACAATCCTCTGTCTAACTGTGCTCTCTGTGGCCTTCCTCATTCTGTGGAAAATGACAGGGACAAGGGGGGACTACAGCCAGCCACCGCCACAGCCCCCCTTGCCGTATAGTGTCCCCCCAACTGTCGCCTCACTTGATAACTTTTCATCATGCACTTACAACGAGAGGTAACAAATAACAAAAGACTCGTTGACTTTTGTGGGTCTTTTTGCTTGTATTTTTTTTTGTAATTGGCCAAATTAATTTTCTGAGCTCTTCCAAAACACTATGCAGGCTAATTTTTGAAAAACAGTCCAAAAAAGGCGTTTTTAGGCTCTTGTTGAACACTTTTGACCAAAAAATCGTATTCCCCCCTCAAAACTAGTATACAATTGCGCCCAAGGCGCTTTTAGAAAAATTTTAGGGTCAGTCAGCTAAAACTGGAGTTCTTAAAATAGTATCAAAGGTGGGAACTTTTGGGTAGTCAGGGGGTCGAATCCCTGAGGGAAGGGCGGGTGCATAAATTCATAAATCCGCTGGTGGTTAGACCTCCTCTAAGAAACGAAAAAAAAAAACAAGTAGTAAAGAATGTTCCGAGTATATTCCTGTAAAAAACATAATCAATATTTTTTTCAGACTAGTGTCATTTTTTTTGTACGTGGTGAGATAAAAGGATCTTAAAGAAAATCAGGAACTTAGACAGTCATAGTTGAATTATTTCAATCAAATATCGCAAGTATGAAACCAAATGCGGTTTTGTTCTGATCATTTGAAAAATTAGAGAGGGGGGGATTTTGTATTCAGGGATTTTGTACTGTTTTTTAGCTGTTTCATTACGAGGCCAAACTGTGTATTTTGTGAATTGTAAGCGGATTCCGCAAAAAGGATCTTTGATCATCCTTCTGACATTTGCCGAGAATAAGTGCGTCAAAACTTGGTTGTTTCATAAAAGTGAATTGATAGATTAGTTGTTAGATACTTGGTTCCAATTTAATATTTGTTAGTCAATCTTTGACCAAGAGAATATAGAGTGATAGAACGGAATGAATAAAAATCTAACAAAAGATGTAGCAAAACAACAGAGTGACCACGCACAGCATGGCACTCAGAATAGGCCAATTCAGTGACCTTGAAATAGAACTGGTAATAAATCCGTAACATAACTGCGAAAAGACAAGTTATAAGCGAGGTACCAAAGGTCGCCTCATGACACCTTCTTTCGCTTTCTTTGATCGTTCAGACAAATTTTTAACATGTTTAAAGACTTGTCATTGAATTGTTCCCAGTTTGGTCTAGCTTAATTTTTTTCCTGTTTTTTTTTACCTTTTTTTGTTTTCCACACAAAATCAGATTCCACAAATAATAATCAGACTGAGTCGAGCGACATATCTTATTAAAACCATTTCAGTCGAACAACATTAACAGAACCGTTTCGAGAACGAACGGTCTGAAATTTTTGGATTTCTGTTCTTATTTTGAGCTAATAAGGTGAGCGTCCGAGCTTACAATAAATTATCTAAGCATGTTTTAAGCCGCGAAAATATATTTTTACTCAAGTAATTTGGTAAATGGACTTTTTAAGCACCGTTTTAGGAATCAAAAACTCAAAAATGATTCAAAAATTTTCTGCAAAAATTGAAAAATTTTGAAATTATTTATTTGATTTTTGTCACGACTTTTTTTCGTTTTTCTTAGTCATTCTACTAGAAACACTGTTTTCCAATCGGCCTAGTTTTCTATGACTGTCGAATATGCCTAAATTTTGTTTATTTTTTGTTCACGTTTTTTCATGACACAACATGTGTTTTTTTAAACTATGGTCGGAAAAGTCTGTGCCACTTGCACAGAAACCGGCCCTCCTTATTCATTAATACTTTATCGCAGCTTTGCTTGGATCCAAGTTGATTAAACGCGCTGAACAATACCCAGTGCTCTGTGTCACTGTAACATCGATCCAATTTCATATTATGCATTTTCATATTTTTCATTCGAAAACATTGCGCATGCAAGTGCCAGTATTTCAGACAGTTTTTGTCCTAAAATCAATTGAAATTCTCAATTTACAGCAAAATTTATTATTAAGCTCATTCTCTAAATTATTATAGAAATAGGCAGCTTGAAGCCTATACGTGTGTTTGTTTCAGTGACTTGGAGCACAACGGAGAATAACAAACAACACGTGAACTAAGTTTCACTTTGGAGTACAATGCCCGAGTTGCCCACCATGAAAGATAATGATGTCTTATGTTCCTAAACTCAAAAACTATGTAGATAAAAAGAATCTAGCTAATTTTTCCTATGCTGCAAAACAGTACAAATTGAATCATGCTAAATTTTCTCATAATTTATATCATTTTGTGTTGTTAATTGAGAAGTTTTTAAGTGAGATGTCTCTTTATAGTGAAAAAAAATTGAAACAACATTGTGTCTTTCTTATAAAATCCAAATTGAATCAAATTCTTCAACACTACTTTTCCCAAGTGTGCAAAGAAATTATTTCCCGAGCTGAGGTGGTGTGTTAATCTCATTTTTTATAGCTGTTACCTTTCAAAATCCACGCAATATTTGGAAATACAATTAAGGAAAGTACGTTTTCGCTACAATGCATTTCTTTACCAACGATTCTTACCTTTACTTTTGTGCTGGCTAAACGCCGTCAGAAATTACCACGGCATCAACGTTAGTCGAGCTCAGTCGAAACTTAGGGCGCGCAAATGTTACTATAAACTTTTCCAAAGTAATTTATTTTTTGTTTTTTCAAAGTTTTGCGCGAAGACGTTATAGTAAGGAAAACTTAATTGAATGATTGGGAAAAAAAACTTGAGGAGAAATGTTGATCACATGTTAGCTCCGTTTACTGTTGAGGTTGCAGCAGAAGCGATCAAACATTTATGAATCGCGACAATCGAGACACACGTTGCGGACCTCGGCTCATTATTCCACTGTCGTTTCGGAAATTGCTGCCATTGAATCTATAGAAATGTACAGTGATGTACAGTTTTTGTCGCAAAAACTGAGATTGTTTGCTTTTTCCGCGGAAAAGTAAAATTAATTGACATCATTAAATTGTGTACTTTGTTGTCAAATCGAATCTTGTTCGAGCAATTCAAATACTTTGAATTCAAAATGTTGGATTTTAATTAGAAATTTTTCATCTAAATTGAGTGGACTCATAATTTTACATATAAATAAATTGATAGTAAAATGAAAATTTGTAGTTATTCAATTTTTCTTAGATGGAAATTTCGTGCTCGGGATGCTCTTGTTCTCCAGACAAACTCTATTTTTTTGTATCATATAAAAATAATTGATGCCCTGAACTCAAACGTAAAAATTTGGGATAATAATTCATCCGTACCAGAATTTGTTCCAAAATTAATTTTGACTTGAAATTTTTTTTTAATTACTGTATGTTACAGCTCAGCGAAAACAATCCCAGTTTTTCCGAGATTGTTTCCATTTTACATTTTGTTTATAGGCAAAACGTAACGCTCTAATTTTCGTGAATGGAATCACACGGCATGATAATAATTCTTAATGCCCTTTTGGAATTGATTTTTAAACAGTGAACATAGCGTCTCAACGTTATCGTGGTTTATTTGAACATGTATACGTTTACGTTCCAGCCAGGTGCGGATTTAGGGGGTGATTGCGGGGGGGGGGGGGGGTGGATTGCGGATTCCTCTTCCTTCTTTTCCTTCATTTTAGTACTCCTTTATGACCTCCATTTTTGGCTGGTTAAACCTAAAATTTTTCTAAATGCCAAAATATACGGTGCCAAAATATACTAAAGTTGACGACGAGCGCGCGTGCCGAAAAAAAACGCAATTCTTCAAAACTGTCCGAAAAGTTGCCTAAAAACGCTTGGCTGTGCCTTTTTTTCAAAAACTTGTCTGCGGTGCGAGTTTTTTGCCAAAATTGAGTCTGTTTAGTGATTTGGGAAAGCTGGGAAATTCAATTTGGTCGATCTAAAAAGTAGACAAAATTGTATTCCACCTTTTTTGAAAAGCCGTCCGCCCCCGTGAAACCCCCTCCCCTTCCCGCGAAAACAAATTCCAGAACTGCGCCTGCTTCTTTTGTTATAAAATTGAGGAGAGGAGCGGCACTTTTTCTTTTTCCCCGCACATTTCCAATTTTCCATTATCTCAGTTGCGTTTTCTGTTATTTGAGCTAAATGCATAGTGTTACAATCTAGAGTATGAGGAACAAGTGTATTCACAATAGTTAATTTGTTCATTAGGTTACGATCGTTGCCTTATGACATCGTTAAAATGATATCAAAATGGGGTAGTGGAACAAAGCCAGAGGGGCTGCAAGGATAGAGCCTAAAAATTGCATAATTAAATATTGAGGCCAAGTTATGCACTAGATAGGAGCACATTTTGGTGTCTCTAGACCATTTGAATCCAGTGACAAAACTTTCAACATGTTCCAAAATGTAAGTGAATTTCATTTCCAAAATTTCCGTGGGTTCCGCTTGCAAACAGCTGTAGTGCAAATTTTGGAATTTTCAATTTCTGTAAGCGGACACATCAAATTGTTAGTAGATGCCTCAACTTTGCATCATTAAACCAGTTCTTGCATATGAACAATTAAAAACTAGAGCTGAAACTTTTATCAAGCAAACGTGAATACAAAAGCAAGGAATTAACCATTGTCAGCAACTCCACGAAAAAATTCTTAATCATTAGTTAACTAAATTGGTGGATGTGCGCTTTAGTATTTGTAATAAATTTTCCAGCAAGCAGTTTTTGGGATACTCACATTGACCAAAGTTATTTGGGCTAAGTGGGTTGAGAATGTTCGGAAACATAACACTCAACACATCACCGAATAGTTCTTGTCCGTCCTGGTAAAAATTGGTTCTGGTTTGTTTTTATCTGTCCCCATCTGAAATTGAATTGTTCTAATCCTTAATTTTTATCTCTTATAATATCAAAAACTGCGATTGAGGCTAAAATGAAACACAGTTTTTGATTTTATATTGAAAGAAATTAAAATGAATTGAAATTGAAATGAACTGATGAATTAGCTTGTAACACCGAACGGTTGGGTTAGACCCAACTAATAGTAGTAATTGAGATTGAACTCGCTGATTACCACCTGGTAAAGAAAAGAATTAATTTAAAACGCTACAATATATGTTACTGGAATCCGCAAACAAAATGCGGATTCCGCTCACCGTTGAAGATTCCGCAACAGCGCAATTTTACTATTCACATAAATTAAAATTTTTTTATCGGATTCCGCAAATTCGCTTGTTTTTGGAAAAATTTTGAGCTGTACAGTCTTTTAGCTTTTCGCTTCTAGAATCAAAGCAGCAAAGAAGATCAAAGAAAAGTAGCAACGTAGCAAGAAAAGTAGCGCCACAGATCTGATTTTAGCCTATTGCAGAAATCGCTCACAAATCACAAAATGCACAGTTTGGCCTCGTAGTGGGTATATGAGCCGACACGAGCTTTTTTCCTCTCCTCGCCTGCATATTTTGGTTCACAAGGAACATTTTGGCTCACTTTTTCAGTTTTGTTATGAAAGTGACTCGCTGACTAATTAGGCCATGACAAACATAAAGGAGTTCACATTCAACCATCTTTATGCCATAAAATGATGCTCATGTGAGGTGGGGGGGATCTTTTTCCTTTTCCCCACCTGCAATTTTTTATAATTAAAATTTTTGTTCACATTGTCCGATTGTCCTGAAAGTTGAGATGCAGAGAAATTAGACCATGACAAACATATTTGAATTTTTTAATTATTAGCCTCCGGCCTGCTCAGTGCAGGACCAACCGTGGGGGAGGGACCATTATATTTGGTCTTCATAATAAACCTTTTGAAACCACTCGTTAGACCATAAAATTGATGCTTGTGTGGGGTAGGGGGGAAAAGGAAAAAGAGCCCAGACATAGTCTTCTTCTTAAACTGGTCCGATGCGAAACTCCTTAAGGAAGTCACGTGTCAATAGAAACAAAGAGTGACTTTTCACTTTCGGACGAACAAATGAGCAACCAGCCAGAGAAGCAGCAGCCAATCCTTAAAAAACAGTAACCAATAACGACAAAGAGAACAGAATAACCAACGGCAGCAGCGGAAAAAATACCAAGAAAAACAAGTTACCAAACTCGACGAGGGACGAACATACTCAGAGCCACACAAATTACAAAAAGTAAAATCTCTTCAATTTTTTTTCAGCTGATATAAAAAAAAAACAAGACTACTGAACGCAAATAAAAAAAATTAAGGCTTATAAAACAGAAAAATTACCTTGAGCCTATTTTCGAAATACTTGTCGAAATTAATTTTAACTTGGGTTTCCATATCAATACTTTTTTGATTGATGTGTTGCTGTGTGGCATTGTTAATGGATCAAATAGTTTAAACAGACTCTGTCAAAGACTGACTATAATCACCATCATCAGCCAATTGTAAAGCTCTTCTCCAGTAAAAACGGTTTTCTCATCTTCAAATTGCTACAAAGAGCGCGTAGCATGTGCTTGCTATACTCTATGTTCTCAAAATCGCGTGCCGCGAAGTCAGTGGGCAAAGGGGTGTTGTTGACGTTCTTTTTAGTTCTGTTTACCAATTTTTTTCTGAAGGGTCTTCTTTTTGGTACTATTTTTTTCCTGACAAACTTTCAACAAAATGCTCAAAAACAGCTTCATGCCAAAATTGTGCTAATTATGATTCTTCTGGGTTTCGACAGAACTCAAAATTATCAAAACGGCTGCCATTAAAAATAACTTCATCCCCCCTCTGTCAAAAAATCAAACAAATTGGTGTTAAACAGATTTGAGAAATAGAATAGAATCTATTCGTGTTAACGGATTCCGTTCCCTTGGTCGCCTTAACGGCTCTTTTTCCTTCCCCCATCTGCGAATTTTTACAAGTAAAATTTTGTGCTCTTTTCCAGTTCCCCCTCTTTGATTTTTTTCTGAAATTCAATCTATGAAAGTCCATTTAAAGTAAACTTTCATGCTATAAACTGCATTACAACGTGTCAGCGTGAACAGGTGAACAAATTTGAACAAGAATTCTTAGATGCAAAGCGCGTGTGAATAATTTTTGACCATCTTTATTTTGTAACTTTTTGAGGGGGGGGAAGGACTGCAAGAGAGCCGATTTTTGTTCGCGTAATTCAATTCGAATATTATAAAAATTGATATGCGGACTAATTAAGCCATAAACCATCACAAACATATTTTGTCTTCATACTTAGCATTATAAAACACTCGTTACACCATAAAATTGATGATCATGCGAGGTGGGGGGGGGGGCTTGAATGGTGCTTTGCTTTTTTCTTCAAAAAGTCACTTCGTTAGAA